ACTTCCTCGTGGTATACTTTTGACCTTTCAAGGAAAGAAAGAAAATGACAGGTTAGTCACCATTTTTTTCTTATGTAGTAAAACTTATCCATTTATTACGTTGAATTACTCAATAGAGTTACAGGCGGATTTCAGTAGAAAAGGGGATGGATGAGAGAGAGAGTTCACTCCCATTATAAATACCAAGAGTCGACGAAAATATTAAGCAAATAATTGTAATTTATCTTTTTCAATTTTTCTGAACCATCATTTCAGAATTGTTTTTCATTCGCCCTAAGCCATGACGCTGAACTTCACCGCACTGAATTGTGTAGTGTATTGTACCGGAAGTGTGAAAAGGTTGTGTTTATAGGCATCCCGTGATGCCTAGCGAAAGTTGTTGTTTTGGTACTTGTTGGCTGCTATGTGGATAGTGTGTGGATTAAAGTATTGAAATCAAAGAACATCGAAGGTTTTTATTGCCGTATATCCAAATATCACAGTGACCTCTCACGGAAAAACGTTCTCTAACGGCTTTCCGTTTGGCTTACGGTATTCCGCGAAACGAAACGAAACGAAACATTTACAGGCAAAATGTATATCTTATCAGTCAGCGAATCTTGTTTTGTCGATTACCAATCGGCCGCTATTGGTATTTTGCGAAACAAGGCATCTAGCGAGAACATTATTCGAAGAGAGGGAATAACTTCTTGTCGCGTCTGTAAGCCAGTATTTGCTTTATCAAACAAGATAATTTTCGGAAGCAGATCGCCTATAACGATTGTTAGCGAAACTTGCTTCGTCGATTACCAATCGGCCGTTATTGGTATTTTACGATACAAGGCATCTAGCGAGAACAGTTTTCGAAGAGAGGGAATAATTTCTTGTCGCGTCTGTAAGCCAGTATTTGCTTTATCTAACAAAATAATTTTCGGGGGCTGAGCGCCTAAAGAAATTGTCTGCGAACCTTGTTTCGTCGATTACCAATCAGCCGTTATTGGTATTTTGCGAAACAAGGCATCTAGCGAGAACAGTTTTCGAAGAGAGGGAATAATTTCATGTCGCGTCTGTAAGCCTGTCTTTGCTTTATCTAGCAAGACAATTTTTGGTAGCAGAGCGCCTAAAGAAATCGTCTGCGAACTTTGTCTCGTCGATTACCAATCGGCCGTTATTGGTATTTTGCGAAACAAGGCATCTAGCGAGGACAGGTTTCGAAGAGAAGGAATAAATGTTAGTGGTATCGTTAACTCGGTGAACGGTAATTTCCTTATCGATTAATGTTTCGTTTCGTTTCGTTTCCCGGAATACCGTAAGCCTTTCCATTTACAAGCCGTTTGTCAGCCGTTCAGGAAAATTTGCATCCGTTTGAACGGCTTCAGTCGTCCGTTCGTCCAAAACGTCGGGTATGGGAGGCCAAACCATTGAAAAGTGGTATGAAATCACGACTGATGACTTAGATTATCGATTGGTGATTGAGATTATCGATTGGTGATCGAGAACAACGATCGCTATGGTTGAGAACGACGATTGGTGATAGAGAATGAAGATCGCTATGGTTGAGATTAACGATTGGTAATTGAGAATGACGATCGCTATGATCCAAAACACGATTGATGATTGAAAAAACAGATTGGGGATGGAGAATACCGATCGCTATGGTCCAGAATGTGGCGATGGAGAATATCGACCAATGGGTTGAGAGTATCGATTGGTTATATTGGCGAGGGATAAAAAAATTATAACTTACATGAAGTAGTAAAGCCCAGTTAACTCTGAGTGTTACGGTAACTGATTACCGGCAGAAAGATAATAACCTCGCTATTTCCGCGAAGCACAATTTATTTAAATGTAAACAACGGGAGATAACTTAACACGAGCTAGCGACTACTCTTGGAACAATCCAACTAAAATTAACTATGTACTTATCTACGCTTATCTGACCACAAGCAAAGTACTGTCCCTTCTCTTTGGCGAAATCTCCTGAAGACTTCCTTCGAAGTATCGCACTCCACGGTAAACAGCTCTGGACTTGACAGCAGAATGTCAGTATCACATCCGAACGGGAAAATCCCTTCACTTGTCACTTGTCACACAATATCGCTTGTAGATCACAAACAGGGAACGAAGTCCCAAATCACAACAACAACCTGACTAGCGAGCTACTTATAAGCATCCGAAGAGAATCTAGAAGTTTCCAAAAGTAACTGTTTATAACCATTACAATAGTAACTATTTATAACTACTACAATAAACTCTATTTTTAAATTGATGAGTCACAGTTCTAGAAAATTCTTGAAACAACACATTGCGTGACATTGACCTTCGTGAACTTTCAAGACAATTCCGATCCTTGTAACATAAGCAATTAAAATGGCGGCCGCCCATAACCTAGATTGTCAAAGATTTAGAGGAGTTTCTGGACTCTATGAGGCAGTGCTTCGATGAGGTGGAGAAAGAGCTCAACGATGAACGTAATTCTATTCCTTTAGACTATTTAGAGAGTAAGCTAGAGGATCATTTCCAAGTTGTTCATGCGATAGCAATTGCAATACAGCAAGCCAGTAATTCACGCAGTAGTAGTGTACTACTTGAGCGGTTTAGACCATCAACCGAAGAGCCTTAAAAAAAGAATCTGAAATAATCCGTGAAAGATATATAACTCTAATCTATAAAACTGGTCTGTAAAAATGATGTGAAATAAATCTGTAAACTGATTTGACAAAATCCAACAATCCAGAAATTTTTAAACTATATGGAAAAATTAAAATCATAAAACACAGACTCAAAATGGCTTTTTCTTAATCTTGTTTCCAAATTAAAACGCTCAAATTTTTTAAAAGTGCTTAAAGAAAATTTAAGTATAAAAATTAAGAACGAGTATTTCTAAATTAAAAAAAATGTTTATATATAGTATGAATAAAGAAAATTATCAAAAATTTGATAAAGTGCTTAAAGAAAAAACACGTAATATAATTATGGAGAGTGATTCCAGATCAAAAAAAATATTTACATATAGTATAGATAATATGAATAGACAAAATTTAGAAAACCTATCGAGAGAGCAACTTAGCAAATTAATTCCAAAAGATGTTATGATTCAAATGATTTTAAATGAACATCAATCACCAATTCAACAACAAAGACAAAAAAGCGCAAAACAGATGGTTAAAGAATATGAAGATAAAATTATTACAGAACCTACTATCATTCCAATTAATAAACCAAAAATAAAACCAAGCGTGTGGGGATTGTCAGAGATAATAAAAAAATATGACAAAATCACTATTAAACCTCCAGTGCCTAAACCAAGAACTAAAGAACCTGTTCCTCTAAAAAGAACAATAATCAATGAAACACATAGAGCTTTGAAAGGATTCACAAGATCTTATAGATTTAATATTAAAGATGAGAAAGATCCATTTATTCAAATGCAAAGCATAAGATTATTCATAAGATTTATTGAAAAAGAATTAAAAGAAATGAAAGGAATGATTAAAATCATTAAAAATAACTTTTGAAAAAGTCGATCTTGATGGTGAATTTGAAATGAAAGAAGGATATTTCAATAGTAAACCTCGAACAATGATAAATGAAACAAATATAGAAGAATCTTTGCAATTAACAAAGCAAGAATTATTCAATAAAATAGCAAAATGGCTTGCAGAAGGTTTTTATTGAATCATATATATATGTATGTAGATTGGATCATTAACTCAGTCGATGGGCATTATTTAAATTTTAATTATTATAATCCAACAAAAGGTTCCTCTTATATTGAACTACCACCAGAATTAAAGAATCCTAAAAAGGTTTGATTAATTTACAAAATAAGGATGATGAATGCTTTCGTTGGTGTCATCTTACACTTTTAAATCCACAAGATAAGTATCCATAGAGGATTAAAAAAGTTGATAAGAAATTTGTAGATCAATTAGATTATTCAGGAGTTGAGTTCCCAGTTAAAATTAGTCAAATACCAAAAATAGAAAAACCCAATAATA